ACCAGGTGTATTAGAGGTAAGTAAGTGTGAAAAGTCTACGGAAACAATATTTCACCCATAACAAACTGAAACATTAACATAATGACCTATTCGTAGCATTTGTAAGATATGAAGTAAATCTACAACCTTTATCATCTTTATCAAGATATGAAGTAAATTTACAACCTTTATCATCTTTATCAAGATATGAAGTAAATTTACAACCTTTATCATCTTTATCAAGATGTAGAGTAAATTTGTAAACTTTATTATTTTTACCAAGATATGGTGTGAATCTACAACCTTTATCACTTTTATCAGGATATAAAGTAAATTTGTGACCTTTATCATTTACAAACTTAATTTTTTCAAAAACCAACAATTTTATTGCGCATTTAATTATCAGATATACATTGAAGAAAATGCAAAAAGAAGCAGAAATACTATGAAATATTATGAAATTCGTTTTTTTTTTTTTTAATTGTTAAACAAAATTCTTCATATTAAGAAGTTTTTCTGATCGAAAAAAAAAATTCCAAAAATAATTTGAATAAAAAAAAAAATCGAAGAATAATAGAAAATATATATTTTTTGTATCACAAATAATCTATTTTTCAACAATGAATTTAATAACATTGACTTTGGTGACTACATTTTGTGTATCCTTCATAAAAAGGCTCATATTTCAGCATATATCCGCCTGATGATAGAGATGCATTTGGTTGTAGTGACATATATTCATAATTATATTGCAGTGATGGGATGAATAGGTACTACTATTACCGTAATTCACTCTTGAAAAATGATTCTTTCTTTAGGAAGGCAAAAAAAAAAAAAAAAGAAAAAGACCAATTAATGCAAATGTCCAGGAGGCGCCGCATAATCATAATTCCATGGATATGAGAGAAATTTGTCGCCAACCCAAGAAAAAGAATTAAATAAAGGAAATAAGGAAAGAGAGAGAGAGAGAGAGAAAAGAGAAATATTTCAACATTTCTTTTCTAAACGTAGAAGCGAAAAAAAAAAATACAATAAAATTCTTTATTTTTACCTTTCTTCATTTTCTCTTTCTTAATAATGCTTTTGATATACTTTTTCTGTGTTATTATCTTTCATTTCCTTTTTTATTCTAACCATTACATTTCTTTTCATAGATCTCTTCATCTTTAATCACTTCACAAGTATACCGTAAACCAGAGGCGGAGTCAGCAAAATTTTATTTCCGGCAAAATGAAATCAGGGAATGAATCTATTCTTCTCAAATTTCTCAAGAAGTTATTCTACGCTATTCTTCCATATCCTTTATTCAAATACTATTCCATTTTTTTTTTTAAATTTCGATCTTTTCTTCCAGTTCAAAATATAGTAATGAACTTAATTATCGATCATTTATTTAAATGCTATACTATTTGCAGAAGATATTGGTCTATTGAAAACAAAAACAAATTTATATTTACAGTAGGAATTCTAATCTATCGTCCGATCAATGGATGCAAAAAAATTATGGGAAATATAAGCGTGGAACAAAATGATCCATGCTTATTTCGTTTAGCTTCTACTTTTTCATCTGATCAGGTTCATTCTTCTTTATCAAGAAAATAAACTCATCATTTTTACCTATTTATTTAAATTTTAAATTTTTCTAAAAAATATTAAGATTTCACTTATTTCTTTAAATGCTATATGTACTTTTAAAAGAAAGTAGCATATTGAAAACAAAAATAATTGATATTTTATATTAGATATTCAAATTTTATTTAATTTATTTTTAGCAATATATCCATTTTCTTATTTTTTAAATTCAATCATGTCAAAAATATTCAAAATTTGAAAAATTTTCCTTTTAAATTAATTGCTAAAATTTTTGTTGATAAATTGTAATTTCATAAATTGATGTGTTTAAGTAAAGATAAACAAGTATCTATAAAAGTAACGGAATATATTTTTGAATATTTTTAAAAGTTTTTTTCAGTAAAAATAAGTTAGTACAAAAATGGTTCCAAAAGAAATCAGTAATTTATTGCAAGTTTAAAATATTTGAAAATCATAAAAATAAACTGTAATTTATCTGCTTGTATTGTAATCGTTTATATTTAAATATGATTAAGATTTCATTTCATAATAAATTAAATTATTTTTTAGATAGATTGTATTTGTGAAGCACTTTATCAAGCACGTGATGGTGAGAAATTATTAGAATTATTTCAACCTAATGTACATAATGTTATGTATTACCGGTGCCGATATTATTCAAGTTCTGTTCTTCGTGCTTATCTTTATGCTTTATATTACGGGAAACGTTATGAAGAACTATTTCAGGTTTACTTATTTCCGTTTATTTTATTTTATTTATTTATTTTTTTATCTTTTTATTGTAGCAATTTTATTTATTTGTTTACACTTTTCTATTAGCAATATTGATTTATATAACTATATCTTTTTTTTTCAATTCTTAAATACTTTCACATTAGTATTTATAATTTTAATCGTTAATCGTTTATGTTCAATGTTCTCACAATAATTCCATCCTATAAAACCATTTGTGGAATTGTTGAGACATAATTTATCGGGAAAAAATTTTCCGGAAATAATTCATATACTATCATTTACTGAAAAATTGAAATTTGTAAATCAAAATTTACAAACTATCAGATTATTAATTAACAATTATTTAGAAAAAAAAATTGTCATTAAAATATTATATGAAATTTTAACAGTAATTTTTTTTTTAGATAATTATTAACTTGATAATTTTTAAATATGAGTTGGAAATGATTTGCAAACTTTGATATTGGATATTATTATTTTCTAAAATTTAAATTTAAACTTCAGACAATAGCATCAAATACCTTCGAACAACGATTTTATAATGAATTGCAAGACTTATGGTATAAGGCACGCTATGCTGAGGTATTCTATAAGATGAGATATGATTATATTTATAATAGAATTTCTATTTTTACCTATCAATTGGAAAACTTTAGTTTTAAATCCAAAATGAATTTGAATGATTCATTTTATCAGATTATTAATTCATCAATAAAGCAAAAAAAAGTGATTATTTTTGTCCATTTTTCGAAACTTATTTCTAATTTTCTCATTAGCAATTAATCAATGCATGCATTAGCTGGTTCGTGATACGTAAAACATTTGAAACACGATAGCTATTCATAAAGTAGTACTGGGGTCAATCATATTGACCCCAGTAATAGTAGGATCAATCATATTTATCTTTCCTGGTTGCTTTATCAAATATGCCTTAAAGTTAATTGCAACTACTGTATAGGTTAATTTCAAAGAAAATTGAGGTTAAATGTCTTCTTTTTGTGCTTTTTTTTTTTTAGATAATGAAATTCTTAAAAATAAAAAAAAAAAGATGAAATATTAGTTTTAGAATGAAGAACGACGACAAAAAGAATTAGGTGCTGTAGAGAAATATCGTTTACGAAAGAAACATCCACCACCACGATCCATTTGGGATGGACAGGAAACTATTTATAGTTTCAAGGAAAATGCTAGAAAGTTATGATTAACTGATCTATTAAATTAAGAAAGAAAAAAAAAAGCAAACTTTATCACATAACGATGAATGTAAATTTTAGTTAATTTATTGTAATTTTAGCATTTTTAATTCAAAAATTTAAATTTAATTTTATATTAATTCTTTTAAGAAGCATTTATTTTAATTTTGAAATAAAAAAATAATTTTGAAATAAAATTTTTGTCATTTTTAGATTCTTCGACAATTTTACCGTAAAAATAAATATCCCACACTTGAGGATAAAAAAGAAATAGCACGAATTACTGATTTAAAAATTATACAGGTAAGAATAGGATGTTTTTCTTTTTTTTTTTGCAAATGATAGATTTAAGAAAGCATAAAATGGGCTACCATTCATAGTTATTTGTTATATTTTCAGTACAGATTTGGTTTTTTTTTTTGTTTTTTGCAGGCTTTACAATTTTAAAAAAGATTTTTTTTGCGACTATTAAAATTTCAAAATACTGCGTTACTTTCTCATACTATTAACTTACTTTGTAATAAAATTCTGACTAAGAAAGTTGAAAATTAATTAGGTTTATAGAGCATAGAACAACATATCCTGTTAGCTACAGTGATGAAAATATCCTTCCGCGATTATATAGTACTAAAATTAGCATTCATTTAATTATTAGACTATCGGATATCCAAAATTAGATGGTCATTCTAATTTTGAAAGTGTTAAATTTTCATGCTAATTTGCTTAGAGTCTTCACGTTCGATCAAAAATTATTTGTTTCTTTTTTTTTTTTCGAATATTTTTATTACATCACATTTATATTTATGCATGAAGTTGAATTTTTTTTGGAAAATTAGAAAAAAATTGGAAAATTATCAAAAGAAGTAAAATTTTGATCAATGACCTTTTATTCAATTATATTTGCTCAAGTTAGTATAATTTAATAGAACTTTACAAAACAGTTATTATCATATTACCAAATTTAGAAGCTAAACTTTGCAGATAAGGTATCATCATATTTTCAATACTTCAAAAAGTAGCTTTCAGATTTCCAATTGGTTCAAAAACAGGCGACAACGTGATAAGAGCACGTCAACAGGACAATTTTCATCAGCAGTGCCGATACAGTTTGATAATTTCAACTTGTAACATATTCCATTATTTCTTGTAACATATTCATATTCATATTCTATTAGTATTTCATGCTTGTAATTAAGAACTAAATTACTAAATGATTGGTTGAAATTAAAAAAAAGAGTGACAATGCTAGAATGACAATGTATAATGAATAAAATTTGTTATCATTGAATGCACTAAATTACAGGTCTATTAAGAGTAATAATATTGATTATACAGTTGTAATTGAATATTTGATAAATGTTAAAATCCTTTTGGTTGAGACCAAATTAATTTTTTTCCAAATTCTAACTTATAAAAAGTGTTAACTTGAAAGTAAACATTTAATCAGTGATAAGTTAATGGATAACTTAATAGTATCTTCATGATCAAACAAGCTTACCATTATAGATCATTTATTTTTTTTTGCCTAAGATACAGTAGGAAGGATGAAAACAATGCTATCATTTTAAACCATTTCATTCACTTTGTTATACTCTCCAACTATGATAAAAATGGATGAATAAAATTTGGCCAGCGAAACGAATCACAAAATTGAAAAGTTACTTTCACCATATCTTGCATCATTCCCAATCCAACCATCTGTCGGGAGGAAGATTTTAATAATTTATTTTTTGTTGTTGTAACTTCGTTGCGTTGATAGTAACCTTTATTGGTCATATACGATATGGTACAGTATCGTACTGATACAATAATAGGAATGAAATAAACAATACAGGATAGGTATTAAAAGATACCAAACAATCTTGTAGCTCGTGCTGCTGAATTGTCGTATTGCCATTTCTCTGTCGTTAAATCGCTGTCCTGGTTGAATTCCTAACTTTGTTGTCTCCTTGAGTGCTTACACGAGCTGTCTAATTGTCCGGTCAGCGAACTATCAAATTACGGAACTGCGGGATTTGTCAGATTGAGTAAATGTGGGAAGCTGTAGGATTGAATGACTGTTCGATCTTTTTTTGGATTTTGTGACTGTTCATTCGGATGATTGATCCTAGCTCCTTTCATAGTGGGAATAGTTTAACATTCCAGATAGATAAAGATTGGTTGAACTGTTACACTAGAGAGGTTCTTTACTGAATTTTGATATTTGCATATAAGCTTGATTAATAGATTGGAAAGAAGTTTAGAACAAAGGACTTTGTTTGCAACATTTAAGCATTGTAATTAAAATTTGTTAAAAAAATGAAAGTTAAATTTGGATGACTCCTCACCCTAGGTATTGAAATTTTTTTTTTGTAATTTTATGTAAACGAATCATTTACCTGAGAAATATCCTAAATTCTAATTAAAACAACTCAACATTTTCTTGGCTTTCACCGACATTCCTGATCGAAGAAAACCAACGCCTTTAGGTAGAGTTTTTAGATTTAATCGTATATCGTTTTCTTACGATACTCCTAGTTCATAAGGTTGTAAGTTCTTGTTTATTGATTTTCTCCATCGATTTTTCAATGTTATTGATTGAATTTTCGAATTTTCTTTATCATTTATTTCTAGAAGATACACCATATTTATTGGTCTATTGATAAATTTTCCATTAAGTATCTCCACTAATACTATCAATGCCATCCCTCCCCTTATTTTTTTTAGTTCCATTATTCTTCCCAATTTCCACAAGCCTCGAGGGATTTCTAATTCATCTACCAATACAATTTTTTCTATTTTCGATTTATAATCCTCCGTATTCTTAGGATTTATACATGTCTTTTCTGAGTTCGTTCCCTGAAGTTTGTTAAGTACTCTTGTTTTTATATTTCCTAAAATGCATCGAGTGTCCTGAATGTTCCTATCCAGTATTTGACAAACTCTTCTTTTGCATTTGGTTTTCCTGGTTTGAATATACCCTGATCATCATTAGTTGTTAGTATAATTAAGCTCCTTTAATCAAGTTATATAAAATCGATTGGACGTATTATCTTATATCATCGAAAATTTGCACATCAGTGGCTGCGTATTCAATACACGTCAATCTCCACAATCAACGTTATCAATTCCCTTTCCCGTAATAATCTCCATTTGATGGCTCTTCTCATTACCCTCTTAGTTTGGTCCTACCAGTCGTTCGTAGAATCCTCCAGTCCAAGAAGCTCTCGGTATTATAAGTTCGTAGAATCTTCTACTGTAAGGAGCTCTTGGTGTTATACTTTCACAAATCATTTCCATTTCCAGCCAGAAATTCATTTAGCTTAATGTTTTGCTCCTTCACTAGTTCGAATTGTCTTGTCGCTCAAAAACTCGTTCTGAATAACCATGTCATGATATGAGTCTTCTTAATACATGTAAAAAATTTTCAGCTAGCAGATTCTCTGCAATTTCCAGGTGGACTGCTTTCATTGTAAAACATGTGAAATGTGAATATTCGACTTTGCCGAATACCATTCATCCATATATCCATACTCTAAAATGATAAGCTAGTGTAAGCAACTACCGGTTGTTCCGGTCAATTATCTGACTACAACCCAGAGTAGGCTTTATCACCATCAGCTTGATTTATTGAAATCCTCACTTCTGATGAGTTTGTTTAACAGTTGGAAATAACAAGTCTGATGACAAATACTTTTATCATAACTCATATTGCTTATACAAATACCACTACTTGCCACCACTATTACTGTATATTGGAGATAATGTCAAGTATTTGTTAAAATTATAGAAAAGAAAAGTGCTCAAAACTTTGTCCTCCTTTAAGAAACCTATTTGATAACATTTTAACAGAACTTAGCACTTAGCTTAGTATTCAACGTAGATTAAAATAAATAAGATTCACAAGATTTGAGCAAATACGGTAAAGGAAAACTAAAATTTGCATATTTGTGATACCAATTAATTAATATATATCAAAGCCATGAAATAAACGACGTAAATGATATTGCAATGCTATAGGGATTATATAACATTCACAATGGATGGATGTGTTCATAGTTTGTGTCCGTCGTATTTTATGCACCCTTATGTATTAATACATATATATCCATATGTGTAAGTGTATGTGTGTGTGTGTGTGTGTGTGTGTGTGTATGTCTGTGTCTATGTGTGTGTGTCTGTGTGTATATTTGTGCCTATCCATGTATATGTATGTGTATGTCTGTGTGTGTGTATGTTTGTGTACTGATGTATTTAACTCTGTGAAATTTCAAAGCTGTCATCCTCTTATCCTTTTCATTCTTCCTCATTACGTTATTCTCAGATTGATAATTTTGACACATAAATTATGGCTCTATATTGCAGTAATCTTTCCAGTTTTCCTTTTTTCCATCCTTCGAAATTGGCTTAAACAAAATGATTTAAGCAATTAATTAATTTACCTTAATGCCTTGTAGGTTGAATTCCATGTGACATGAATACCTGTCGCTTGCTCCTATTGTGCACTTAAACAAAATGATTTAAGCAATTAATTAATTTACCTTAATGCCTTGTAGGTTGAATTTCATGTGAACGAATACCTGTGCTTTACTCCTATCGAGATAAAATGATTTAAGCAATTAATTGGTTTACTTTAATGATTTGTAGATTGAATATCATGTGACACGAATACCTGTTGCTTACTCCTATCGTAACGACAAATGGCGAAGTTATACTTTGTCACAGTAGGAAAAATGAGGAGTTAGTGATAAAAATAATGTGTCCATTCTCTTTAAGGCCGATTATCGGAATGAGTACTATTTAATTCCGTCAATGAGAATTTATGAGAGGATAAGTCTGGTGCCAGTAACCGCGATAATTGTACCTTTCAAAGTGTATGTCGTCATTGCTGTGATTAAAAAGCTCATAGCTGAATTTGTATCACAGGACTAGTCTCCTAGGCTAATATTGCCAGTTTTCCTTACATTATTTTGATCGATTGCAAAGATGGTTAGCAAGTTTAACTTGCCAAGTTTAAACTTTTTTTTAATGATTTCAAGTTTAACTTTAAATTTTTAACTTTTGAAAGTCATAAATTTTCATGAAAATTATTTCGGACGTAATTGCCTAAATTATATTTTATTTTTGGGAAAGAATTTTTACTATTTTATTACTACATATCTATTTTCAAAATTTCGTATTATTCTGTGAGAAATTCTTTTCTTTTTTGGAATTCGTAAAATCGATCAATAATTTGTTGATGCAAAGATAACCTTTTTTTTTTTTCACCTCTTCTTTTTATCACGATATCATCATTATTGGGATTGAGATCCTCAAACAATACGATATATGATATAGGAAAATATCAACGAATAGCATAGCATATGAAACAAGTTAGAATAATCCATTAGCTGTTGTGAAAAAATTCCTTTTATCGAGTCGTTTAGATTTAGAAGGTTTAGCCTTGAGTTAGGATCAAGCAGAAATTTAATTAAAGGCTTACCTTGTGAAGACGTCGAATATACGTTGTGAGGACACAGAATAAAAATTAGTGCTTTATTGATACAGAGCTAGCTGATCAATGAGATTATTGAAGAGTAACGAGTAGGAAATCGCTCGATCATGAGTCAAATGCAATCGTAAGTAAAGCACTATGGAAGAGCACTAGCCCAAGAAAACCTCTTCCTTTATTTCCAAAAAGGGTTTATATGGATAAAGAAGTAGGAATGGTTTACATAAAACGTTAAAGGAGGGTATTCATTTAGATACAAAGGAAACTGTAAAGATCCAATTACATAATAAGCATTGTAACAAGATCAGATGGGAAGGTTAGCATGTAAATTGGACATCCTTTGTCATTAAAATAAGGATGTGAATTTTTGTTAGACAACGATAACAAAAGAAACGTATGGGAGATAATTTTAAAGAATGTAAATTGGTGAATGAATGCATTGATGAATCATTAGAAATATTCTAGGCATTTAATGTATAATAAATTCTTTCGGTTTTCCGAAATTAGCTACATCCGGGATAATCAATAATCCAAAGGTTCTAAAAAGCTTTAAAAGGATACCACGGGATATGCTGCTATATCACACTTCAAATCATCAATTTTCATACACTTTATGCAGGAAAATATCGATGTTCGGTATATGGAATGCGGTTACATCGAGATAATCAATAATCCAAATAGTTTAGCTTTTAAGGGATATGTGAATATACCCAATGTTGTGTAACACTTTTAAGTCCATCAACTTTCATGCAATTGCTTAATTTTTGAGCTCATTTCCGAATTTCGATTTAGTATCGGTTAGAATGGATTTAATTAAATGATATCAAGAATTAAATCAGTTAGTTTCTATCATATATTTGT